GGACACGCGGAATACGGTTGCTCGCTTTTTCACTACTGTGTGCGTACACCTTATCATTTTGTTTGTTGTAGCTCTCTTCTATGGTAAAAAAATTTCATCCGAAAAAAGAATTTCCCGATATTTTTTCCCGCGTACCGCTTCAACAAAGCGTGGCATCTCTTCAGTCTCAGGTCCATTAGACGAGCATTCAAACGATGTCCTGTTTTTCTTCGATATGCCCGAAGCCCTAAGTTTTCATTTAACACCCTTTTCACCGTGGTTCTGCTTAACCCCATCTGAAGGGCTAACAGTTTCTGCTTACGTTTGGGATTTCTTTAAATTCGCGTCTTCACAGCTTTTATCGCTGCTGGAGTCCTAACAGACCGAGGGTGACCACTTCTTGACCTGTCATCTACACTAGAGTCTTCATTGTATCGTTTGATGGTACGATAAACGAATCTTTTGGTTATATTCAAATTTTTCAGTATGTCAAAAATTTGAATTGGCGCGTAACCGCAACGATGCAACGCAATAACTGCAACATGTTCTTCTTTAAGCGTCCACTCCATATTTAAAAATGAGTAAAATTCTAAAAAGTATACAGTTTTATTTTTATGAACAATTCGAATTCAATAAACTTTTTTGTGGCCAGCATTCTAAAAGAAAAGTTTTTACTGTGTGACAATACTTATGACCTGACTAGGTATATACGTTGGTACGTGTGTGTACATGGGCAGTCTATTAGCAGCATAAACATTATTTTCTAGACTGGGGTGAATCTTTTTCAGATGTCGTTGTACATCTAGTGTATCCATGGTATTACTGCTATTAGTAGATTATTACAGTACAATCTACTCAATGACTAACATAGGAATGATCAATTATAGTGATTTCTAAATATTAAATTGCAATATTTTGTGTTATACAAAACGTATTTGAGTCATCAATACACTGAACAAGACGCGACATGACGTAATGTTGAGATAAGCAACAAAATGTGAGATAAGCTTGTTGACGCATAAAGTTATTATCAATTCCACTGTAGAAATTCTTTAAATTAGAATTATTACTTACTGGTACTATATAAAACCAAGCAACTACAGTCATGGAGTTAGTGTATGGTCGTTTGACCGAAGTGGATCTATCAATACTACATTTGTGTTACTTCAACGCATCAAAGGCCATAGATTTAATCTATTGACAAACTTACTTTTATTTCTGTTATTTCCTTACGTGTGTATGATTTAGTGTTAACAAATTATATTTAAATATTGTGTGTGTATATGATTAAGCCGTGGTAGCTCAGATGGTTAGCGCAAGCTGTAAATTTCACATTACGCGACGTGGGTTCGATCCCCGCCGGCACCAATTAAATTGTTAATTGCAATTTTAAGTGTTTATTCTATTGACAAACTTACTTTTCTTTCTGTTATTTTCTTACGTGTGTATGATTTAGTGTTAACAAATTATATTTAAATATTGTGTGTGTATATGATTAAGCCGTGGTAGCTCAGATGGTTAGCGCAAGCTGTAAATTTCACAGTACGCGATGCGGGTTCGATCCCCGCCGGCACCAATTAAATTGTTAATTGCAATTTTACGTGCTGATTTACCACGTGCTCGGCGGTGAATGAAAACATCGTGAGGAAACCTGCATGTCTGAGAAAATTTCGAAGGCATGTGAAGTTCGCCAACATGCATTGAGGCCGCGCCGCGGACATTTCCTAGCCATAAATACAAAGACAATAGCAGAAACTGAAAAAGTTAAAAAATACTTTTTTAACAATGACAGTCATTATTAGTCAGTTGATCATTAGTGAATGTGATTCTGTTTACTTAAATTACAGGAAGACAAGAGCAGAAGGAAGAAATGGGGGAAGTAATGAAGAATGAATTGTTATGTGAAGTTTGTTGGAACAAACATATTTTAGTCACGTGTAAATACTTTTAACATTTTGGTTCAAATTGACACAAAATCTAAAAAATATTAGATACATCATCGACATGGACGGATTTTACATTACATATCCTCATAAACATTTTCAATGTAGAGAAATGGCTATTCTAGATGTAAAACTATCTAATAAAAATGATGCGTTTATCGATCATTATTTGTTTCGACCAAGTTATCCTTTCAATTATTTGTCGCCAAAAGACAAAAAAACTATTCGTTATTGTGAAAAACACGTGCAAGGCATTCCATATTACGATTTGACCGAAGAATTAAAATGTGCCTACAAACAAGAGAACATAATTCCCATATTAAATTCGTATATTAGAAATTTGTGCAAAGACTTAATGATATTTAAATAACAAAACGTTAATGATATTTAAATAGTAGGGTAAAATTTGATCATTACATTTGGCAAGTAGTGAATATGGAATACCGTCTAAACCAGGAGCTGAATCGTGAACGTGAGAAAGGACGAGATTTAATTCATATAAATAAAATGGACGTTCTAAGGGATCAAAAAAAGAATCACATGGAATACTTTGACGTAGATCCTCTCTCAAAGGAGCAGAAGAGGGGCAAGTTTATCTACAAAAAGTGTTTAATGATTGAGAGGGAATGGCACCACTGTAAGAAAAAGATGAAAAACAACAGCGAAATTTTCTAATATTACGCCAAACAACTGATGAAGGTATTGAAGGAGAAATTGAGGAATAAAAGGCATGCCGACTTGTTTGTCGTTTTGTACGTAGAGTATTTTTAGTCAGTTCTTATTTTTTAGTTATATTATTATACGTTGAAGGTATGTATAGTTTTCCGAACTCATGTCTAATTTATAATGTTTTTCGGCTTTTTTCCTATTATGAATGGCCTCAGTACATTCAGAATCCCACCATGGAGGGGAGGGCCTACACTTATTATTTAGAGTTTTAACAGGAATTGTTTGATCTGCTGCATTTATAATTGCATTTGTAAACGCTTCAACAATTGAAGTTATATTATTTTCAGAAATAGGAGCGATTTTTAGAATTTCATTGTAAAGAAAAATATTGTACAGGTTCCAGTTCGCTCTGTCTAATTTGTATATGTTGTATTAATACATGGTTTTTTATTAATTTCTGCCAATTTTTTGTTCGGTAAGGAAATCAGAATAGGAAAATGATCACTGCCGTGAGAGCTATCTAGAACTGGCCAATTTAAAAAAGAGAGGTTAAATCAGGAGTACAAATTGATAAATCTACAGCACTTCTAGACTCATTAGGACGAGAGCGTTTGGTAATTTTACCAATATTAAGGACGCCAATGTCAAGTTCGTCAATTATTTCAACTAATAAACCGCCGTATCTATCAGTATTATCACCCTATAAATAATGATGACAATTAAAGTCACCAAGAATTATAAATGGCTTGAGTAAGAAGGCGTATGGACAGAAGGGGAGGGAACATAGAAACGAATGTAATATTTTGAATTCTTACTGCTACAATATTAAAGTCAAATATTTTAATCATAAATATCTATAATAGAATAAGTTATATTATTTTTTATAAGCGAAGTACATCCGGCATAACCATCAGATCTGTCACTTCGAACAAAACATAAACCATGACTCTGATGTTCAAATCCGGTTTCAGCCATGTCTCTGAAATAGCAGCGATACACACATTGTACTTTTTAATAAATAAATTATTTCAGTACGTTTATCTAAAATGCTTCTACAATTCCATTGAAGGATCCTTGTGAGAGTGAATGTCATGGAGAATTTTAGGTATAGAATTTAGTAAGCGAGCATCGTAAGACGTTAACTTCGACGAATACGAAGATATGATTATGTTTATAAGGAAATTTATAATGCTTTCTACAGAATCAAAATTACCCTGTGAAGTATCTGGTAAAACTCGAAGAGCACAAACGTCCTCAGGTTGCGGAAATTAAAGATCTGCAATAATTTTTGATGACTTTTTTTGTCGTATCCTGTTTGATTGTAGGATTCGTAGAAAGCGAAGAATTTTCAGGGATTTTTGAAATCAAAACATCAGCATATGATTTTGAATAGACTTGGAGATACTTTTGAGATGCTTCAAGGTATGAGATTGAATTTTAATATTATTTTGTCTTGAGTGTTCAGGACATTTAGAATCTGTGGCTTTGTGGTTACCTGAGCAAAATAAGCATCGAAAAATGTTGAACAAACACGGTTATTATTAGTTGTTAAATCCATACTAAGTCTAAGGATAATTTGGAAGAAATATATCGGCTGAATTGAAATAGATTTTTCACAGTGAACTTTTTGCGGTATAACCCTAATTTTACTTTGTCATAGACTAAATGAATTTATCGACAACGTTTTTTCTTACGCTAATGCACATCAATAGAGGTGTCTATGGAATTGAAAAACGGCAACCACCTTGTAAAAGAAAAAAGGTGAGAATAAGCTATCTTATTTTGTTTATAAAGACTTCAGCTATAAGATTTTTTTTCCTATTTTAGGACTCTCTCTATGCTAGTAATTACTCTGAGGTCTACGATGACAACGTATCTATGAAGTTTTGGCGGGAACTTGGCCGTAGACGGATTGTCGCTCCTGTTTTGTTGCTTGAATAATGGTTTTGAAGTGGATTTGGATTCTTAAAAGTGATGCGATTGCGTGTGAATTATTAGAGAAAACGACGAAACAAGTGGTTTGATGTCGATATATACCTCAAGGTATTTTGGTCGCTTGGGCGCCTTATGAACTTAAGTGGCTGTCGTCATCAACAGTCCGCTAGGTTAATCTCTCGTCAAAATCTCCCAAGGGCTTCGCAATGTGACGCATCAGCATATTGTGAAGAACAAGAATATAAAATAAAGATTCCGAAAGAAATGATAGGCTTAGATGGGCTAGAACCCAGAGCCGTAAAGCCAGTTAATAAAAAAATGTATCTATGGTTGACAGTTGACATTTGAGCATATGACATTTGACTCTTGGGTCTTGGACAGAAAATATGATACATTCCGCGCAAATAGTAAACTTTATCATATTTATTTGTAAATTATCTACTTATCTGAAATAAAGTTAATTAAAACGTCAAAATGCCGCGAGTTAAATTTGACTATATTGTCAGCGTTAGCAGCGAAGATCCCGTAAGATAAAAATTTATAAAGAAACGAATTTATGAATAACGAAAAGTAAATCTCCGTATGAGATTTTTGCCATAGTGAACTTTTAAATTTGAATTTTATGTTTTTCTGTTATTTCTTTAAGTTTGATTTATTGAATATAGTTCTGTCTGATGCCAATTCTATTTCTCAGGTCTACTTCATTTAATTTCTTCTAATCCTAGTTTTACAGTAGTTACATATCTCATACACTCGTGTATCCCTGAAAAATTATGCAGTAATTTAAGCATTTTCGCTACAATTAATTTATATCTGTTTTTTCTCTAAAATTAATAACTATCAACAGTTTTAATTTGTATGAATTCAAGAATAATAATTGGTTGGTCCATCCCATTACCATTATCCAAAGGACTCTTACTTCTGGTAACTTAATCTCGGTTTAAGAGCCTTGTGGCATATACAGAGATGGGAGCAAAAGACAATGGTATGACTTTGATCCCATACATGAACACCTTGGCGGCCTCTCATCTCGGTACCATGTTTAGGACCAGGGCAGCAATAGAGGTAGCTGAACTTAGAAAATGTTGCAAATATGAGTGTGAAAGATGACTTTATGTTTGTGCCATTTACTGCAGAGACTGGTTGGTATGATTCCTGCAGCGTGAAGTTTCTAAACAAATTGTATTTATCACTGCTACTACTGCTAAGAGGACTGTTTCTTTTTTCATCGAAAGGCCTTCAAGTAAAGCCATTCAGCAAAGATTTATAAATATTGAAAACTTATTTAAATTTATAAAAATTATTATGTTATGAAAATACAGTGTAATCTTTATAACTAATGTTTCTAATGTTTTACGAGTCTTAGACTTAACAAAAACTTCGAGATATGTATGATTTAAATGCTTAAATTTCGACTTACAGAGGTGCGATTTCTAAGTATATTTTTCGATTTGTAGAGTCGAATTTGAATAATAATTCAACTTATGTTTTATAGTATATATTTTTACATATTAAAACAAATTACATATTAATAAAGTAAACTGTACACTAAAGTACCTATCTTTAATCTATCTTAGTTATCTTCTTTTGATTTAAACTATTTGCAGATTTTTTATCAATATTTTTTTCAAGCTCAGCCAAACCAAAGATAAATCAAACAAATACTGACGGATCAAGCTCCGCTAAAAGTAATCTTGTCTGGTGTCGACAAGGAACAAACATAACATTCACCTCTGTGTTAGAAAGTTTTATGCATGTATTAATTCATTGCATATGTATAAGACAATAACAATAGATTAGAAGCCCCAAACCCGAACTTTCATTTTGAATATTATTGCTCTCATTATATTTTACTAACTACGACTTACGGAGTCTTCTTTTTGAAATTCAAGTTATAAATATAAAGTAAATTATATTAGGCAATTCTAAAAATGATGTTAAAGGAAATTAAATATATTCTATACATAAAAATCAATTGCTGTCCATTAGTCTTGCTAAACTCAAAAATGGCTCAGCTGATTTTGATGCAAATTTGTGTAGTTGATGGCATTGTTGTCGTAATCAACAAATCACCTGTTTGAAGTTGGGCCAGATCGCTTGATAGAATAAGTAATATTAGTAATAGAACATAAAATTATGATTCAGATTTTATCAAATTTTTGCAAGCTGTAAAATTAATTTTGATTTGATAATTGAAATTATTTCTACTGCTACAAATTGGGCCATTTGTTTGCTGCATTGAGTTATTGGACATTAATTAATGGACTGACTCTTTTACCTACTATTTGAAAATAGATATTACTAACTATACAATTTTTATCTTATATATTATTATTTATGTTAGGTATATAAAACTATTTCATAGAATGTTAAGATTTTTTAGGTAATTATTTATTAATTATAATGGATTTGCATAAATTTTGTATTCAATGTAATGAACAATAGATATTATCAACTTACTCACTTACTTATCTTCACGCACAATCCCTAACGGGGTAGTCAGAGAGAACAGATCGCCAAGTGTCACAATCCCTACATACCTCTTTCGCTTCTTTCAGGTTCATTAACTTCTTCTTATGCATGCACGTCTAGGTATCCGAGTACTCTTGACCTTCCCCTCTTCGAGCAATTTGCTCACATGGTCTTCGAAAGTAGGTCTCGGTCTACCTCGACACCTTTTAATATTTACTTTCGCTCTATATATTTTCTTCACCATTCGGTCTTCACTCATTCGCTCAACGTGCCCAAACCATTGGAGTACGCCCCTATCAATTTTTGTGATAAGGTCATCTTTCAATCCTGCCATATTACGAATCTCTTCGTTTCGCTTTCGATCGGCTATGGTAACAGCACACATTTGACGAAGAGATCGCATCTCCACTGTATTCAACTTGCTTTTATGCTTCTTCTGGCATACCCAGGATTCGCTGTCATATAACAAAGTCGGTACCAACACTGCGTTATGTATTGCAAGGCGTGCACTCTTCACATCTATAGATATTATCAAGCTGACCAAATATCTACTTATAATATTATATGATAATCTTTGATTTAGTTGCTGGCCAGGTCTTGCCGATAGTTTATTTACAGTTATCAAAGATATATTATGTTGTCCAAATAACTTTCTAGCTGATTTTTGTTGTTGACCGAATATTTAAAAAAATACCATTTAATTAAATATCGTAAATATATACATATATTAATTTTCTAACACTAGGAAAACCAAGCAAATAATCTACTGGCAGGGGAAGTGAGCAAAAAAAAGTGGCTTTGTCAAAAGGGTGAACAGTCTTCTTCCGTTGTGCTTCAGCTTGCTCGTGCGGTAACGGTAAGATGTTATTTTACTTTATTGAAGTAAAACTTCTTTATCGACACAGTGGAGTAATTTAGAGCAGTATTAAAATTCAAAAACTTCATGTTTTCTTGTAAGATTTTTTTGTGTATACCTTATTAACCTACTTATGTAAAATATAAAACAAAAGAAGAATTATATGTCATATTGAAGTTTCACTTTGTACACAATTATATGAACAAGTATATACACAATTACATATACAAGCAGTATACTTAAGTACAGTTCCTAAATATGTCTGAAAACTCATAATGCAATTGGGTAAAAAGCTCTAAAACAGTAGTAATATGTGTATGATGTATAAAAATGTTATTTAATCTCATCATTCATCATCATTACAGCCCTTCACAAGTCCACTGCTGAACATAGGCCTCCCACAAGGAATGCCACAAAGCACGGTCCTGAGCCACCTGCATTCATCGACTTCCTGCATGTCTTACCAGTTCGTAACGGTTCCATAATCCATTGGGAGACACTATTGAGGTCATTGAGCATAGCGCTCAGGTGGACTATAATGTGAATCTTAGGACAGTACTTGCCATAGTTGCCACTCTTGTCAGGTGGGTTGGCAACTGCAGTTTTTTTCTAGTAGTTATGTGGAAGTAGCTAGCCATGTTCTGGTTTGTTTCCCGGTATCACCTCCCATAACAGCCATTGCACAATATGAGCTAATGGATGTTCTTACACTGTTACTGCATGGATAAAATTATAATAAATTAGATCTCAATATTATTATTATTTTGGGGTAATATTAGTGTATTCTCATCTAGTTGGGCGGAATAAATATATAAAAGGAAATGATAAATAATCATAAATATATATTTAATATACTAACATAAATAAAAAAATAATACATAAATAAATAAAAGCCCAACCAGATGGAAGTCCACAGCAAAGGGAAAGAAACCAGCGGACGATGCGGGCGGTATCGAGGAGCACCGCCTTCTGCATTTGAGCCCGGAGCGGTCCGTCACGGAGCCCCAGTCGCCTCAGATGACCCGAGAAGCTGGTCGGGATTAGCCCATTCGCAGAAACAACACAAGAATAACTTCATACCACCCCACATGTCGGTCACCTCTTGAGCCAAGTCCTGATATTCTGTTTGCTTATCTGACTCAGCTTTCACGAAGTTCTCGTCATACGGAATTTTAATGTCGACCAAAAATATCCTTGACTATACCCGGTCCATCAGCACTATCAGGTTTATTCGCAAGAACAGATTCTTCTGTCTGTGATGATGGCAGGTTCCAGTAGAGCCTGGCGTGATCATTTTCAAGCAAGGCTTCCAGCAAGTACTTATAATAAGGCAGTTTCCGATCCATGAGACCGTATTCAGACCGAGCACCTGGTGTAAAATCCTGGCTCTAGTAGCCAGGATTTTACACCAGGTGTCGCTCTTGTGCTTGTGCAAGTTCTCAGAGTTAGAAAGTGCCAAACTACCAGAGATGACATGCCTAAGTGACTCACGGGGATAGCGAAATAGCTCGACAGACGTCGATTATTATGATGATTCGATATTGTTGATATTGATGAGTATTGATTTGAAACAAAAATTCCATTTTCAGATATCTGCAGTTCATATTGGAGCGCATCATGCAGCCTTTGTTGAGGTACTTGTGGGCTCATCGGAAACACCTAACGACCAATACCAAGTATGTCCTGACTAAACAATATTACAATATTCTTGTAACAGAGACGGTGTGTTAATAATATGAAACAAATTAAATAATATGCATCAAACCTGCTAAAGCTTAAAGTCTGCAGGGTGCATTTAATTGAGGGTAGATGTATATGTAAACCGTGTTGTGGTGATGTAAGAATATTCACTACCCCATATCATCACATGGGTGTCTTATGAGGTGACGGAGGGAAACCGGAACAGGAGATGTATAGCAACATCTTCCTCATAACAACTGTACATAATAAAAAACTGCGGTTGCCAACCCCCTGGCCAAGCATGGCAACTATAGCAAAATTTCTAATAGGCAATTCTGTGGAAGGCCTATGTTCAGCATGGACTTTTGATAGGCTGTAGTGGATAGATGCATGGAGATGTGTGTCTGTGAGCCACAGCATCCACTTACCGTCAGGTGGACTGTGTGCTTGTTTGTCACTCTTCTTATAAAAATAATGAAATGAATATACGACTAATATGAGGATTTTTTCATAGGAGAGGGGGCTAGCGAGCGTGCGGCTCACCTGATGGTAAGTGATTACCGCCGCCCATGAACAACTGAAACTCCAGGTGAATTGCAGGTGTATTGCCGGCTTTTTAAAAAGGAGTAGGCTCTTTTCTTGAAGGTATCGTTTCGGAAATATGTCTGGTGGTAGTTGATTCCACATGGAAGTTGTGTGAGGAAGAAAACTTATTTTAAATCGCAGTGGTGGACCACCAGTCTTCTAGATGGTATGGACGGTATCGCGAGTTTTGTCGCGATGTGCGATGGTGGAATTGTGCGGATGGAATTAGTGTGAACAATTCCTCAGAGCACTCCTCGTGGTAAATACGATAAAACACACAAAGAGATGCAACATCTCTTCGCAGTGTCAGTGAGTCAAGACGATCGGAAAGAGCTCGGTCACCGACGATTCGAACAGCTCTGAGCTGGCTGTGACCAAATGGAAGGGGCTGGCACTGTGGAGTCCCAGGCCAGAGATGAGAACAGTATTCCATGTGCGGCCTTGTTAAGTTGCAGGCGGTGTGCCGGCAAGAAATACTGTCCCGCTCTGCTGAGCACGCCAAGCTTTTTAGAGGCCAATTTGGCCTTCTCTTCCAAGTGACCACGAAACTGTACGTCTCTCGATATGTTGACGCCGAGGATTCCTATACTGGCTAACGCAACAATGAAAATGCCTTGCAACCAAGGAGATACGACAAAGGGGTTCTTTTTAACGGTAAATGCGCAAACTTGTGTCTTTTGGGGATTGAATTGGGCTAGATTTAGTTGCTCCCAGTTCGAGACTTTGTTCAACAAAGTCTCGACTTCAAACGCAAGTTTGTTCCTGTACTCGGCAACGTTTTCCCGAGAAATATTCGCACTGCCGGTGTATAAAGCATCACCAATAATAGCACGTAGCCTTTTGGAACACCCGCGTTAATTAGTTTGTGATCAGAGCATGAACCGTCTACTTGATGTTGTCTACCTTGATGCTCCGATCTTCAAGAAAACTGCTGAATATAATGGTAATAGGATATCGTTGTAAGTATTATTGTGACAATTGTCCAAGGTTCTGGTTCCTCGCTGCGTGTTCACCAGCCCCAGTGAGTCCAGACGAGATGTACCAGTGGATCGCGTGCGCTCCTTCAGTGGGGACCAGTTGGCCGTGAAGTCCAACACCCGCTGGGATAGACTTAGAGTCCTGTGCTCGCAACCCTACAATAAACATTGCCAGGTACAGTATCTTAGCCTAGCGGAGTAAGAATAAGCATGGTACACTATAATGGAAAATTCATTTGTATAGATGGTTATTGAAATAATACTAGTTTTTACGGAATTTATCGCGTGTATTTAACTTTTTTAATTACCCGACGTTTCGAACGCTTTACAGCACTCATGGTCACGGGCAGGACTGAGATGTTCAACGTCCATATGTCATAGTTAACCGCGGTTACCATAGATTAAAATTTAACTTTTGTCCCGATCTATGCAGTATGAACTTATGGTAAGTCTTGCAGTTGTATGCTTGGGTTGGGATTTAATTTTATTTATTATAGGATCCCAAGCAGATGGTAGCACCCAGCCATCTTCTCTATTGAAATTAGGATGTTTTTTGATTTCAATAGCCTCGCGAATCATCCTTGGAAGGAATCGGTGTTCTTTAGCGAGGATCTGCGGTCTATCAAATCTGATGTAGTGATGGGGGCGATCCTGTACGTGTTCACAGACTGCAGACTTCCCGGAGCGTCGATTCTTCACATCAGCTATATGTTCTTTAATGCGGGTTTTTATTGATCTTTTAGTTTGTCCTATGTATGAGAGACCACATTCACAATCAAGCTTGTACACTCCTGCATCTTGCAGAGGGACATTACACTTGACCGATGGTAAAAACTGACCAATCTTCTTCAGCGGCTTGAAGTATGTTTTGATGGAAGCGCGCTTCAAGATGTAGCCAATATTGTCAGTGACTCCTCTAAAATATGGCAGTACAGCAGGTACACGCTCGACTGTGGCCGGCTTCACTCGTTCACTGTGAAGTAGGCGCGGGACTCGAAGCTTGTTGTCATGCAAAACTTGCTTGACATGGTGGAGCTCTGCAGCCAGGTGTTTACTGTCACAGATCCCTCGTGCTCTCTGAAACAAAGATTTACCCACGGTAGCTAACTGTGAAGGATGGTGGTGAGAATCACCGTTTAAATATCTATCTGTATGGGTCTTTTTTCTATACACAGTATGGCTCAAGGTGTTATCAGGATTCTGAATTACTAACACATCTAGAAAAGCTAAGGAATTGTTTGCGTCTAACTCCATTGTGAACTGAATTTTAGAATTTATAGAGTTAAGATGGTCTAAAAATGCAGTTACTTTATCTAAAGGTAGAATTGTGAAAGTGTCGTCTACGTACCGCTTGTAGAACCTTGGATTTATGAGAGAACTAAGCAGGGCTTTCTCATCAAAGTCTTCCATGAATATGTCGGCGACAATGGGAGATACAGGTGAGCCCATCGCCACACCATCTACTTGCTTGTAGAACTCCTCCTTCCACAATAGGTAGCCAGATGTAAGGCAACAAAAACAAGCTGAAATTTATATTTTTATTTTTTATTGTTTAAAATTTGCGCATGTGATGTGTTAGTCCTTAATATTTTATTTTCAGTTTGGACTCTCTTTCATACATATTTATGAACCAGAAGGTACTACATCTGTGAGCTCAGTGGAGCCGCAGTCTGTAGCTCCCGCTCTTACGGCTTCTGGCATTAAGAATAAACTTCTAGAACTTGGCACCTACTCATCAGACGAGGACGAATTCCGACCGGGAGAGCTATTCGCAAGGCATCGACAAAGTCTGAACCAAGACGATGCCAATAATCAGAACTCGAATACAGGTTAGTTACACATGTTAAAGATATTGTCAGAAGAATATATTGGATTGTTCAGTAGATAAGGATACTTTTCAACCATCAATATGACATAACAGGCTGTCACCTTTTTGGGGTTCCGTAGTTTAAAAACGAGGAACCCTTATAGTCATGTCCATCCACCCGTCCCTCCATTCGCGGTTTTACTCATAGAGCTTTAGTGCTACAAATCTATAATTTGGCACATATATAAATGTTAATCGCATCTACATAACTTAGAAATAAAATGTTGATAAACATTTTTATTTTGTGTACCTCCCATACAGGTTAATGGAGGATGATTATTTTCACCAGTTCCATAGTGTGGGGTATCGTTAGGCAGGTCTTTCAAAAACACTAGGGGTATGAAGGAACTTTCATTTCGATTAAAAGGTCCGTTTGCGAAATATTTAGCTTTAAAAAAATGATTTCAAAAGGAAGGATAGGCCCATCTAAATATTTTACTCATAACTTCTTCATACAAGAAAAAGTAGCGCATCTGACATAATACATACGTCATATCAAAACAAGACGTAACCAGGGTCGGATTACGTAGTATAATTATCCTAAGTGTACCATTATTTCATATTTTGTAGTACATAGTATCGTAATAATACGTATATACTACGTAATAGCGATAATCATCATCATTTCATCATTACAGCCCTTCACAACTCCACTGCTGAACATAGGCCTCCCCAAGTAATGCCACAAAGCACGGTCCTGAGCCACCTGCATCCATCGACTTCCTGCATGTCTTACCAGGTCGTCACTCCATCTAGTGGGGGGTCGCCCTACACTACGCCTACCGGTACGAGGCTGCCACTCGAGAACCTTTCTTCCCCATCGGTTATCGGTTCTTCGAGCTATATGGCCGGCCCATTGCCACTTCAGCTTACTAATCCGTTGGGCTATGTCGGTCACTCTGGTTTTACTGCGGATATCCTCATTTCTGAGTCTATCACGCAGAGAAACTCCGAGCATAGCCCTCTCCATAGCTCGCTGAGCGACCTTAAGCGTCCTCATACGGCCAGCAGTGAAGGACCACGTCTCAGATCCGTAAGTCATCACTGGCAACACGCACTGGTTGTACAATCTAGTTTTTAGAGATTGAGGTATACCTGACGAAAAGATATGCCGTAATTTCCCGAACGCTGCCCAGCCGAGTTGAATCCGTCGATTGACCTCTCGGTCGAAGTTGGACTTACCTAGTCGGACTATTTGTCCCAGGTAAACGTATTCGTCAACAACTTCGAGCATAGTGCTCCCAACAACTACCGGCATAGGTGTGACATGGACATTGAACATGATCTTTGTTTTGTCCATGTTCATCTTAAGACCTATCCGTTGGGAGGCACTATTGAGGTCATTGAGCATAGTGCTTAAGTCCTCCAGCGATTCTGCCATAAGGACTATATCGTCGGCAAATCGAAGGTGAGTGATGTACTCGCCATTGATGTCAATACCGTATCCTTTCCAGTCCAGTAGCTTGAAAACGTCTTCCAATGCAGCGGTGAAGAGTTTCGGGGATATAACGTCACCCTGTCTTACACCTCTCTGCAGTTGGATAGGTTTCGAGCTCTGGTTCTGTACTCGGATAGCCATCGTAGCCCTACTGTACAAACACTTCAGCACTTCGATATACCGACAGTCAACTTGGCACCGCTGAAGGGACTGTAGCACCGCCCAAATTTCGACGGAATCAAAGGCTTTCTCATAGTCCACATACGCCAGGCAAAGTGGCAGATTGTACTCTTCAGTCTTCTGTACAATCTGCCGCAGGGTATGTATGTGGTCTATGGTACTGAAGCCTTTTCGGAAACCGGCTTGTTCGGGAGGCTGGAAGTCGTCAAGTCTGCGTGCGAGACGATTCGTAATGACTCTCGCAAACAGCACGTAGACGCGGCTCAGAAGGGAAATCGGTCTGTAGTTCTTTAAGAGAGCGTTGTCGCCTTTCTTAAAGAACAAGACCACCGCACTTCTGCTCCACGCCTCTGGAGTAGTGCCACCATGGAGGACGGAATTGAAGAGCTTCTGAAGGACTTCAAGTACCGGTGTTCCACCCGCTTTCAGAAGCTCCGCTGTAATTCCATCCTCGCCTGGGGCCCTGCCGTTTTTAAGGTGCTGGAGAGCCATTCTAATCTCGCTTAGACTGACGTCCGGGATATCATCGGAATAGTGTCGGATAAGACTTGCTCTTGGATCGTTACTCACACTTGCGTGTGGCTCCAACGATGATGTGTACAGCTGCCCATAGAACCTCTCAATCTCACTCAAAATCTCAGGTGTCCCGGAAACGATGTTGCCACACTCAGTCTTCAGCCTTGACAGTTGGCTCTTTCTGGCAGACAGATCTCTGGCAAAGACTTTGGAGCCCTGGTTCCGCTCGATCGCTTCTTTAATACGAGAAGTATTAAAGTTGCGTAAGTCTCGCCGTATGCATTTGGAGATCTGTCTGTTCAGTTGCCTGTATGCTGTCAAATCTGTAGACGATTGCAGCCTCATCTCCCGTCTAACAGCCATGAGATTAAGAGTGTGATCGGAGAGTTTTTGTGTTCTTCTGCGGCGGGTCTTACAGAACTTAGCTCCGACCGCATGGACAGTTTCCACGAGCTTGTCGTTCATATCGTCCACTGCATTGCAATCTTCTAGGCACTGGAAGCGGTTACGTAACTCGGGCTGAAAGGTTTCGGGATTCTGGATTAGAGCACGAGGGGGGACGGGGCGTTAGCTTCATTAGACGAGACCTCTCCAACTTAACGTTTAGGTTCAGTGTGCCTCTAACCATTCGGTGATCGCTGCCAGTTTTCACCCTTGCGATCACTGAGACATCACTGAACAGTTGACGTCTGGTCGTCATAATGAAGTCAATCTCATTTTTTGTCGAACCGTCGGGGCTCGACCAGGTCCACTTCCTGTGGGGCCGCTTCTGGAAGAAAGAGTTCATCATAAAGAGTCCCTCTTTCTCCATAAAGTCGGCCAGCTGCTGGCCCCCTTCGGTTCCGTTGCCCTACTCCAAATTTCCCTACCTTCAGCTCACCGCTTTCTCTTGTGCCCAGTTTTGCGTTGAAGTCTCCCATCAACACCGTGTAGTAGGTTCTGGAGGAATGTATGGCTCTGGAAATATCCTCATACATTTCCTCCACCTCCTCATCGGGATGTGCCGAGGTTGGTGCGTAAACCTGAATGACCTTCAGCGAATACCGTTTGGTGATTCTGAGTATCAGGTACGCGACCCTCGTCGACACACTCCCAATCTTTACAACGTTGTTGACGAGAGATTTGTGGACGATAAATCCGACACCTCCTTGGGACAGATGGTCGCCCTCCCGGTGATAGAACAAGTTGCCGGACTCGAGGATTGCCGTGTCCTCCCCCTCTCTTCGGACCTCGGATAATCCAATAATATGCCAGCGCAACTTGTCTACCTCTTCTTCCAGCTCCAGTATCTTCTCGTCAGTCCTCAGGGTGCGTGCGTTATATGTTGCCAGGTCGAGTCGTCGTAGGTGGCAACCGAACCTCCACCGGAGATTCTTAGCACCCCCTGCCCCGCCGTTACCATGGTCGCCACCGTAGCCAGGAATAGCGGGGCCGCCGGGGACTGGGGGCCGTCTGTTTGTGTATTTGTTCATTGGGGGTATTTGCCATAGTTGCCACGCTTGGCGAGCGGGTTGGCAACCGCAGTTTTTTATTACGTCACAGTTGTCATCATGTCTCCTGCCTGTCTCCCTCTGTCGCCTCTTACGACACCCACGGGAAGATATGGGGTAGTGGATATTCTTAACCGCCACTACACGGCATAGCGATAATACTACGCGAAAATACCATAATTTTACCTAAAGGTCGACTTGTTGTGTTTTAATCTAACCTACGATATTAAGAGTTTCTGTAGTGTACATGAGTACCGCGTTTTTTTAATAAAATTAGAATTAGCTCCCTTTCTGGTCAATCGATGCTCGATCGATGCATTTATGTTGCATCCTTGAGACAACTATAATGAGGGGCTACCACGATAAAAACACTATATATGCTCCAGAAGCAATCGATTTGAAAACAGAATTTAGAATATTTTATGAATCAGATTTTCAGATTCAATTAAGCAGACATGGTTTCTTTTATACTCTTTTAGTTTTATCATTATTGAATATAAAATATATTAGGTACCAATATTCAAAATTTAACTTGCGTTTTTTAGACAAAAATTAAACAGAAATAAAAATAAAACCGTCAAAAACGAAACGTATAGATAAACTAGTCGCGTGACGCCAAAATCCCGGCACATGGGAAAAACGAAACATGAAACGTCAAAGGTGATATGATTTTTTTTATATAGTGTAATTTTATTTTCCAAGTACAATATTTTTGAGGGTCTGAATCTCCAACCCTGGCCCAATCTTTTTTTTTTAAAGAATATTAACAATGCTATAAACATTACTAATATTCCCCTTAACCACTTGTGGTAAGCTTAAATTGCTTGTGTTACGAGTGGTTCACGCCAGTAATCGAATGGTGGATTCGAACCCACGACCTTTCTGAGTTCGCGGTCCGCGCCCTGCCATTAGGCTACTGTCGCTTATGAATCTTGGTAACGTAACTAAGCTAACTGTAAAATAAAACTTTAAAAATGCGTTTTTATAATAATTTAATTGTAACAAAATTAATATAAGGTTATTTACCGATGATACGATATCCCATGTTTTTTTTTAAATCTTTGTATCGTAATTTTTGCATTCTGTTACCACGCAACTAGACATATCTGTGACAAACAAATCTGTCCTGCGCGAGCACCACTGTCGACCGATTCGCGTTGGCCCTAAACTGTAATTTTAGGGCCAGCGCACTGGTCCGTTTTAGTTGTTCGGTCGACCTAGTCCTTACGCTAGTAATATATAAGTTAATGGCTTTAAAGTGGTATTTTTCATTAACAGTCAGGTGTCCGCCCCTCTACCATATAAACCACTGTGTTTGGAAATGTGAAAAGTACACACTATAGTAGTATATATACTGAAGTTAAAGGGAAAACTATCACACCTAAGTAGAATTAACAAATGATTTCTTATATTTACGCAAACACTGCACATTGATTAAAAATACTTTTACGGGTTTTTTCGCGTTTAATTTACCTGATTTTAATTCCCTACGTTTCGGGTGCTTTCCAACACCCATGGTCACAGGGGACTAAGGTGACTAACGTCCCGATATCAGTGTTAACCCGGAGACTTTCAGCTTTTTAATTATTATTTATGGTCCAATCTACGCGGAATTAACTCACAGTGTCTTGAAGTCTTGCAGTGGTATGCTTGGATTTAGTTTTAATTTTATTAACTACAGGGTCCCAAGCAGGTGATAGTACCGCCTTCTTCTCTATTGAAGTTACGATGTTTTTTAATTTCAATAGTCTCATATAATCTGTGGTAGGAATCGATGTTCTTTCGCGAGGATTTGTGATCTATCAAATCTGATGTAATGGATGGGGCCGCCTAGGATATGATCACAAACATATTATTAATAGATTGTATAATTTTCAAATCTTTTTTGAATGCCACTCACTATAAGTCTGATTGGAAAAGAAGTCCTACAGTAACTATCGTCCTATTTTAGCCCATTTTAGCCATAACAGTGGTCAAACCGCGAACTCACTTAATACGCTCATTATCAAGAAAGTCAACATGTTGTGACTTGCAACTACTGAAGCCTATCCAACCCATGCACAATGTAGAGGACATTGTGCGAGGCCCAACACGCACTTGGCGAGTTTTTATACTTTTATTCTAGTAATAATATTTCATACGTTTTTCGTTATTTCAGGCGCTCAAATTAGACAAGCTTCATCACAAGCTTTAAAAAATATATCCGATGCGGACACAAAGCTAATCAAGACCCCGATAGCTAAGACTGGCAATAAACGAGATAATCGTGACAGGGGGCACGCTGCAGACAGGAGCCGAGACAGCCTTATGTATACAGATGATGACGAGCAACCTCATGCGAAGATCGACCGGGTTGTTATGAAACACAAGGAGGACAAGAATAAAAGGGAAGAAGCTCATAGAACTAAAAACAATGACGGTTTAAAAAGAGGCCAGGATGAAACGAACAATAATGTACAGAAGCAAACAAAAGATGAATCTTGTAGTAAAAACAATGCAAGAATTAATAATATTAAGACGCCTGAATCGAGTAGCAAAACTTCTAAATATAAAGATGACAAAAGAACTCCTGGCAGCCAAAAAAAGACAGAGAAAGAAAATAGGAAGAGACGAAGATCAGAGGATAGTGACAATGAAGGTAAATTTTTGTTTTCTTATTTAACATGGTAGAGCTATGCTGCAGTTATATTAGTAGTAAAGTTGTAGCACGAATGGGTCGGCTCAAATGGGGAAGGACCACGCTCTCACAGAATACCAGCGTGAAATAGTAGCATAATGCTGCTGTGTTTCGTATGGTGACTGTAGAGAACCGGAGACCCTTTTTACTGGAAACGAGGCATTCCATCTTAGTCCTCACAGGTGACAACGCATCTGCATTTTGATTTGTAATTGAGCACAGCAACCACTTACCATCAGGTGGACTGTGGTGGATCTCTGCACAGGGAGGATACCTCAGTGGCCGTGGTCATAGAGAAAATTGATCTGTAAGGCTCTTTCTTTGCTTCCAACTCTACTCTCGATGACGGGGGGAACACACCGCCGACCATCCCGCGGTGTGAGTGCTCCATGCCGGATGAGCGGTTTACACAGCGCTCGGTGCGCAAAGCTCTCCTCTCCCAGGATATCCACAAGTCGAGTGGGCCTGTCGGAATCCCCCCAATTGTACTGAAGACGTGTGCTCCAGAGTTGCATCGGTTGAAACGCGTCTTTTCCGGTACACCTACTCTCTAGGCGTAGTCCCGTATTCATGGAAGACAGCTTTCGTCCACCCGATCCCTAAAAAAGGCGACCGCTTAGACCCGTCTAACTACAGGCCTAACTACTGCTGTACCTTCAGGATCATTGTAGACAGTGCAAGCTCCGATTACAAGCCCATTAATGCTGGTGCAAGGCTACGTGCTATTACCAACGCTGTTTCTTCTGCATATCAATTATATGTTATGCGCCGTTTACGCGCGCCCTCCGTATCCTCAACCGTATAGCAGAAGACATAGATTTATTTGGTTGTACTCTGGGTGGGTTCATAGTAAGAGCTTTATTTGAAATTAGCTATGGTCCTACTGTGACATAGATATGGTATTTGAAATAACAATAAATACATATTTATAACCGAAAATTATTAGCTTGTAACGGTGTAGTTGGAGTTGGTAAAAATAGTTGTCTACATTATCGCATTAGGTGGTAATCCTGTAAAGATAATTGTATAGTGGGAGATAAATAAAAAAAAATGTTGCAAACCGGCAACATTCATTGCTACGCAGATGACAGCACTGGTGATGCTCTGTACACAGGCGGTATATTTATCGGGAAAACGTCTCTGAGTACCGGGACAAACTTCTGTCTGAAGTCGAGTCTTTGCTAAACAAAGTCTCGGATTGGGGGTGACTAAATCTAGTCCAGTTTTGAGACACAAGTTTGCGCGTGAACCGCTAAAATGTAACCCTTCATCGTATCTTCTCAGTTTCAAGGAACACCCCTTGTTGTCTCAGCCAGTATCGGAATCCTCGGCGTCGACATATCAAGTGACGTGCAGTTTCGTGGTCACTTGGAGAAGAAGACCAAATTTGCCTCTAAAAAGCTTGGCGTGCTCATCAAAGCAGGACAGTATTTCATGCCGGCACACCGCCTGCAACTTTACAAGGCGCAGGTTCGGCCGAACATGGAATACTGTTCCCATCTTTGGCTGGGGCTCCCCAGTGCCAACTCCTTCCACTTGACCGCTTTCAGCGAAGAGCGGCTCGAATCGTTGACGACCGAGTGCTTTCCGATCGTCTCGATTCACTGGCGCTGCGAAGAGATGTTGCATCTCTTTGCATTTTCTTTCGCAAATACCACGGGGAGTGCTCTGCGGAATTGTTCGGATTAATCCCAGCCGCCTAATTTCATGAACGCACTACCCGACAAACCTCCCTATACCATCCACACCATCTGGATGCTTAGCGGTCCACCACTACGTTTCACTAGGAGTTTTCTTCCGCGTACGACCTCTGTGGAATAGTTTACCACCGGCGATTTTTCTGAACCCGTACGACCTGGGGACCTTCAAAAAAGAGCTTACACCTTTCTAAAGGGCCGGCAACGCACCTGCGATTCATCTGGTGTTGCGGATGTTCATGGGCGGCGGTAGTCACTTAACATCAGTTGAACCGTCTGCTCGTTTGTCCCCTCTTCTATAAAAAAATCACCAGCTGATTAGTGACCGCCAATACGGTTTTCTTCGTAGTCGATCAGCTGGTAATCTTCTGATCTACCTGGCTCATAGATGGGCGGAGGCATTAGAGTCCAAGGTGGAGGCATTGGCCATTAGTTTGGACATAGCGAAGGCCTTCGATCCGGTTTGGCACGAAGCGCTATTTTCAAATTTCCTTTCCTATGCGCTTCCCGAGAAATAGTGCAATAGGATAACCAGTTTTCTTGCAGATCGGAGCATCAAGGTCGTAGTAGACAGTGCATACTTCGATTATAAGCCCATTAACGCTGGTGTTCCGCAAGGCTGCGTGCTATACACTGGCCGTGGATTGCAAAGCTAAATGTGTGCGTTGTCGATCCTCGTACAAAATAAGGTTGACAGCCATTCTCTTGTGTATTATAGTATTCAATGACTTAAACGCTACTTATTTTTAAGATGTCATGGTGTCACTGTCACTTTGGCTTAAAGCGATAGAGCCGTGGTAAGCACCACCAGCATACAGGAGACATTCAATCACCAGAAGAACCAGTGAAATTTAGAATTGTAATTTTAAGTGCTGATTTACATGTGGCTCGGCTGTGATTAACATCTTGAGGGAACTGCAAGTTCTGACGTGTACTTAGTACTAGTAAACTTTTAGTGCGGTTTAGGTTGTGTCTGTGCAAATATTTAGATTTAGATAGCGCCGAATAACTGGAGATGATATGCTTAAGCAAACCACCGGGAAGGCGACAAGTTCGACAGATGTCGTTAGTAATGTTTTGCTCGGATCTATCTCCGACAATTGTCTTAATAACCGGATCCTGTATCGCGCAGACAAAACTTTCGGGTTCCCCAAAGAGCTTACAATATATTCGAAGCATGAAGATGCGTGTTGACACTTGTCAAGCGTGTGGACTTAGCATTAATTTCTGTTTTCGAAATAGTTGCGGTTGATGTTGACGTTTCTTTGGGGAGGTCTGTGTTCAACAGTGACTCATGAGGGGTTGTAATGATGACGATGATGAATTTGTTTCAGAAGGCGGTCCGGTATGTGAGGAGGAGAGTGCGGTGTTGCGCGGTGTGGTGTTTGCACTGAGCGGTTTCGTGCACCCCGAGCGCGGGGAGCTGCGGGACACCGGGCTGGCGCTCGGTGCGCGCTACCGCCCCGACTGGACGCACGACTGCACGCATCTCGTGTCAGTGCCCACTGCTTACTGCTCACTGTTCACTGCTCTTGCACGCGTACACTCGTGCACCACGAGCGCGGGGAGCTGCGGGACACCGGGCTGGCGCTCGGTGCGCGCTACCCCCCCGACTGGACGCACGACTGCACGCATCTCGTGTCAGTGCCCACTGCTCACTGCTCACTGTTCACTGCTCTTGTACACGTGCACTCGTGCACCCCGAGCGCGGGGAGCTGCGGGACACCGGGATGGCGCTCGGTGCCCGCTATCGCCCCAACTGCACGCATCTCGTGTCAGTGCCCACTGCTCACTGCTCACTGTTCACTGCTCTTGCACACGTGCACTGAACCCCGAGCGCGGGGAGCTGCGGGACACCGGGATGGCGCTCGGTGCGCGCTACCGCCCCGACTGCACGCATCTCGTGTCAGTGCCCACTGCTCTTATCTTTGCACACGTGCACTCGTGCACCCCGAGCGCGGGGAGCTGCGGGACACCGGGATGGCGCTCGGTGCGCGCTACCGCCCCGACTGCACGCATCTCGTGTCAGTGCCCACTGCTCACTACTCACTGTTCACTGCTCTTGCACACGTGCACCCCGAGCGCGGGGAGCTGCGGGACACCGGGATGGCGCTCGGTGCGCGCTACCGCCCCGACTGCACGCATCTCGTGTCAGTGCCCACTGCTCACTGCTCACTGTTCACTGCTCTTGCACACGTGCACTCGTGCACCCCGAGCGCGGGGAGCTGCGGGACACCGGGAATGCGCTCGGTGCGCGCTACCGCCCCGACTGCACGCATCTCGTGTCAGTGCCCACTGCTCACTGCTCACTGTTCACTGCTCTTGCACACGTGCACTCGTGCACCCCGAGCGCGGAGAGCTGCGAGACACCGGGATGGCGCTCGGTGCGCGCTACTGCTCCGACTGCACGCATCTCGTGTCAGTGCCCACTGCTCACTGCTCACTGTTCACTGTTCACTGCTCTTGCACACGTGCACTCGTGCACCCCGAGCGCGGCGAGCTGCGGGACACCGGGATGGCGCTCGGTGCGCGCTACCGCCCCGACTGCACGCATCTCGTGTCAGTGCCCACTTCTCACTGCTCACTGATCTTGTACACGTGCGCTCCGAGCGCGGGGAGCTGCGGGACACCGGGCTGGTGCTCGCATCTCGTCTACTCACTACTCACTGCTTATGTACACGTACAATGTTTTTCTTTCCTTTCGGTATCGTTCAAACGGATACCACCCTATTATTATTTTTCTTTTATTTACACAGTTTTCTTAATAAAATCTAAAAACCCTGCGTTTACTACTATATGAGCCAATCATTGGAGATCTATAGGAAATCTATGATAGTTGTGTCGAAAATACACGTACTTTAGATTGCTTTGGCAAAAAAATTGTGAAGAACAATGTATCGCGGAATAAGTCTGGGTGTTTTGACGATTGTCCATTTATAATATGTATAATCTACGACGTTATATTCTGGGGCAATAGTGCGCAAAATCTTAACATTACCTTGAATTATAATATTTAAAAAAATCATAAGAAGGTACCCAAATTCGCATACAAAGCTAAAAGATATTCCTCTTCGCTATGAATCGTGCTCTAAAAAGAACCTGCTTAATATGTCAAGTTCCGGAGAAACTGATCGGATTGCAACATGCAACATTTCTGGACCCCACCAAAGAGTATAGTAATATTTAGAAGGGACCCTCTGAACCATAGATAAGAATGCTGAGAACTAAGAGTACAAATAAGATATAGAGCGCGCGTAACGCTCATTGCCCACTATGCCAAGTGTAACCAGATGTTCTATAGATACTGATACATAGATAAATGTACATAAAATTTAGACATTCAGTAACCCGCGTAAAAGAACATATAGCTGATGTGAAACATCAACATTCCGGGAAGTCTGCAGTTTGTGATCATTTCCTAAACGGCCCCTACCATTACATCAGATTTTATAGACCACAAATCCTCGCGAAAGAACACCGATTCCTGCCAAGAATGATACGTGAGGCTATTGAAATTTAAAAACATCCTAATTTCAATAGAGAAGGAGGCTGGGTACTACCACCTGCTTGGACCCCTGTAGTTAGTAAAATTTAAAACTAAACCCAAGCATACCACTGCAAGACTTCAAGACACAGTCAGTTCATTTTGCATAGATCAGACCATAAACAATAATTAAAAAAGCTGAAGGTACTCCGGGTTTAGCAATGACATCGGGACGTCAGTCATCTCAGTCCCCCGTGACCATGGGTGCTGAAAAACACCCGAAATGTCAGGAATTAAAAATAATTCTACTAGTATTTAGAAGATAAAACACTTTAGATTTCTACCTCCGTTACCATACTGCTATGCTTGAAAAGGTGCATAATTATGTATGTTTGTACACAGTATGTTGTATGTACATATGTAGTATGTTTGTTTATGTAGGTACAATATCGAATATAGTGCAATCATGCAGACTTCTATGTATACTGCAAGACGAGCACTAGGGTACTAATTACATTGCTCACTAAGTAACGCTCAATTCTTTGTAACTTCTTTAGTGGAAGAGAAGACGAGTTCTTTGTTTTGTAAACCGCTAACTTTGTTCGACAATCTAACAATGATTTTGTTTTGATGTGACAAAGAAAACGCTGTCATTATTAAAAACATATTTCCAGAGTACACAGTAACTATACAACACCATTAAACCGCAAAACGGTTTGTATTGGTGCTGGCAGATGTCTACACGCATTAATATATTATTTTTAATAACTACCTACTATCATAAAATTCAAGAAATTAATTATATATGTGCGCACTTTGCCAATGTAATTTGAAGTTCATTTCAGATATATAATTTTATTTCGTATTTGCCTAATTGCCCAGTAGCCGTCGTAAGTGAAAATAGAACTGCGTGGCATGTTCACCAAGCCCGCTAATCGTCAGCACCTGCGCGGTTCACAATAGTGAAACGGTTTTTATTATAAATTGTGGGTCTAATAGTATGTATACATAAAAGTCTTTGCAACAATTATTAAATATATGCTAGGTTCAGTTTTTTTAGCCTTCTCCGGCATAATGTGAAAAGCTTCATAGGAATTGTGTGGTTCAGAGTGAGCGAGGCATCAAGTGGTCAAATATGTGAGCAGGTGCGCGTTCCCGAACACGCCGAAGCTGAGGAAGGTGCAGAGTGAAGCGCCACACGCACACATCGTGAGTGGGGCGTGGCTTCGAGTGTGCAGAGCTCGCCGCCGCCGCGTGCTCGAAGCACGCTACGCACCGCACGTGCAGCACACGCAGCACACACAGCATACGCAGCACACACAGCGTACGAAGCATACACTGTCTCCACCGCAGACGCAGTCAGAGCCCACGTCACACGCAGAACAAGGTGAGCATGTTCATTTTAGAAAACATGGGTTGATTATTGATATCCGGTACTTGATTTTCATTATGTTTTCAGTTTAGGAGGCTTGTCAAGGTTAAGCTTGTGCCTTTTACACTGTTTTTGGATGTCGGAAATGCGTTTTGATTTAATTGTGATAAAAACAATTTTCACTAGAAATTGCTTATAACGAAACGCAAATAATTGTGTCAATTTGTTCTCGCACTATGAAGTAGACGTCCGGTACTCGATTTTTTAATTATGTTTTTAACTACACTGTTTTTAGATTTCGGAAATGTCTTTTGAATTAATTACAATAAAAATAAATTTCACTAAAAATTGCATTTAACGAAACGCAAATAAGTCAATTTGTTTTTTTTAACACAGATACACACTCATAAAAAAAGTAATCACTAGGACCCAGATAATCCATTTGTGGCTGAAGACGGGACTCACATATAACAAATTGAGTTGCAGTGGAGAACGGTCCAGAGGTTTTTCAGAAAACAAAATTATAACAATTTACATTACATTATTTTATTTAACACTATCATAGCAGGGGTTAGGTTTACAATTAGGTCGCCTGAATTTGAAGATTCAGTCACTGTGAGGGGTCAAGGCAAGGTCAAGGAGCAGCGTCGAAATATTTTTAATTATTTTTTAAAAATATTTGTAAATGACTAAATAATTAAATATTCTCACGTTTTTGACGTTACATCTTTCAATGTCATATCGATGTATAATAGTGAATCGATATTTCGCCCTAGAGAATCGAGATCGAATCTTTTTCTGTTTTATTAAGAACTATAAATAAAATTATTTACAATTAGTTGAATGTACCCCAACTCGAAGGGAATGACAGTTTTTGAATTCAATCATTCAATATTATCTGTACTTTATTGTATCTTTTGATATTGTAAATATAAACTTTTAACGCAAATCAAAAAAAAGATCGATTTTTGCGAAATCAGTCTTTAAGATTTCGATTTTTTGTAATCTATTCATTCAATTTCGATTCGAATCGATTTAAAAATGTCTAAAATGAATTGCTAGGCCGGCCATTTCGTTGACAGCTTTACGTCATGCCGTCACGCCGTTGCTTCAGAGTTTCAAAATTTTGGAGAATAGTGCAATATTTGTGGCGGCGGAATACTGCTAAATATCGCAAAAATCCTTTCTTACAAATGGTGGCAGCCCTAAATTATGTTTATAAATTAAAGTAATTATAAAAGTTAATGTTTTGGTGTTATATTGAGTGCAATAGCGAAGAGCGAATTGAGCGAAGCGAGCCTGGAACGTGGGGCACCCCGACGCGCACAGGTTAGGTTAGAAGGGGATGACGGGGTCGAGTGAGCAAGGGAAGCGAGCGAATAGACCCCGCCGTCCCTTTCGTAGTTATTTTTTTGTAAATCACCCAGAAGTAGGAGCCCTGCAGAGCGGGGCTCCGTTGACCGGGCTTCCCTCGACTGCACCACGTTAAGTAGCGTGGGGCTGCCGTCCCCCAACTCTCTCTCCCCATAAACAGGTTAAAATTGTCATAAAAATTACGAAACATAACCTCGAAATGAGATTTTTAAAAATGTATAAAAAAAACTAAGCACGTCCGTCAGGAAGGGGAAATAGGTTATTCTACTATACTATACATTATTGCAAAGAGGGAAGGGTAGAGGGGATTCCCGTGAACCATCTCCCTCCCACTCCCACCACCGTACGCGAGTACCGGATGTCTATAGTTTAACCGAAAACATAGTAATTATAATATACATACTTATAATGAAATTATTTTTACGATCTATATTTAATATTTGACGATTCAAGGGATAAATCGTAATTAGCAATACAATAACTTATAAATAGTAATATAACTTGAGTGATCTTTATCACTGACTACCAACAGAATGAATTTACTCCCGGCAGTTTTGCATTTTTTCCCTCTCCAACTGACTTAACGTTTACTTCTGATTGCGTCACCAACCAAAAGTATACGTTGTCACTTTATAAATAAAACTAATTATTAAAAGAGTTTTGGAATAATAAAAATAAACATATTTTTATACATAAAACTACTTTTATGGATTTTATCGTTGGTGGAGCGTCGAGCCTAAGGTTGCCGAAGTTTAATTCCCCGGTCGAACCTTAAACCTATTACGCGAGCTATTAATCTAAGTGGACTGTATCTACAAAATCTTTCTACATTTATACAAACGGCGACTATAGCATGCGGTACAATGCACTCGCTCTTCCCTAAAAACGAACTATTATTTGCCAAATCGATGAAAGGAATCCTGCTTGTTTAGGAGAAAACAAAATTGGAGCGGGTTAAAACACAGTTATATCAAGCAGGCTATATTATTAGAAATATTGACTCACCGGGGTGTCTCTTCTCTGCTGTTGGGCTTAGCTGGTTGTTGCGACTTCTGGAACTTCTTCTGGACAGACACCCTGGAGAGAGGCGGTGCGCGACTATATCTCACACGAGGTGAGGCAGGTTTCCTGGAGCTTGACTGCTTCCAGGCTAAAGCGGTTCTACTAGCGGTGTGGTTCCAACTACGAGCGCGGCGGGAAGAGAGCGCGCGTCGGTCGCGCGTGCCTTTTATATCTTCGGTTGCGATGATTACGTGATATTCTAGAATCATCTTCTTTCCCCTCCCACCCCACCACCCCGATGTGTCGATAGGAGGGTATGAATGATATCGTTTTGGAAAGGGATAACCGATTTGGCAGACTACCGTCAAATTAAATAAATACGAATGGTTTTCCGCGCAACCATCTCCCCCCGCCCTTGAAGGATCTTCAAAAAATAACTAAAACAACTAGAGCTAAGATCAAACTAACAAAATAACTAACGAACGCCAAGATTACCTAAATTCAACTACAATTTTAATCTAGAAAGCTAATTTAAATTATGGAAGAGGCAAGGGGCACAAACGGACAACAGGACGCAGGTAAGACCCAACCGTGGTCTTAACGCGAGCTATCCTAATTACTCCGTCGGAACCGGGAAAGACCTTCTTCGACAATTCCTAACGGCCAGTGGAGAGGCGGCGCATTCTCTTTGGTGAGCACAACTACAGTTCCTACAGCTAAAGGCTCAGTTGCTGTGTTCCATTTTTGCCGAGACTGCAAAGTATGCAAGTATTGTAAGTGCAGTTCCATCCTCCATCGTTTCCAATACGATTGCACTAACCGGTCTAATAATTTGTGGCGTGCGGAAATGCTAAGTCTGTTCTCATCCATATCTACGGCGGGCAAATACTTTAAAGGCGTTAAATTCAAAAAATGTGCTGGAGTTAGAGCCAGCGGTTCCGAGGGGTCACTAGACAATGTCCGACAAAGTGGGCGGCTATTCATTACGCATTCGATTTGAGCGAGCACCGTACTTAGCTCTTCGAAGACAAAATTTGATCTGCTATTACTCGGTATAAGTGACTCTTTAGACTCTTAATATTAGTCTCCCAATTGCCCCCAAAATGACTCGCGGCTGGGACGTTCAGAGACCACTCAATGCGGTTCTCGGCTAGAATGTGAGCGAACTCCGAATTATAATACTTGCTAGCTAAGAGTTCATGTAGTTCTGATAAAATACGTTTTGCACCGACGTAGTTCGTACCGTTATCCGAATATAATTTACTTACAGGGCCACGGCGGGATAGAAATCTTTTAAATGCACCCATAAAGCCTGCTGTGCTTAGATCACCAACGAGTTCTATATGCACCGCTCGAGTAGTTAGACATACGAAAATGCAGACGTAAGCCTTTGTGGATCTTATACCACGCCCGCGAGTGAGCGTGACCTTAAACGGACCAGCGAAATCAGACCCGGTGTGCGTAAAGGGCTTTACTGATTGTATTACTCTACAAGATCTAAGTTCCGCCATTTCCGGAAATGACGGCTTGGGGCGTGCCCGAAAGCAAGCTATACATCTGTGCACCCGATTGCGTATTAAACTACGTGCAGAAAGAATCCAATAATTCTGACGCAAGATCGACATCAGCAAGTCGGGGCCAGCGTGCGAATTCAATTTATGATGGTAATCGACTAATAAATTCATGATATGGTCTTTGCGCGGTAAAACTATAGGGTGCCGTTGGTCGAAATTCAATTGCGAGTTGGACAAGCGTCCACCTACCCTTACAATCCCATCCTGTAAAAATGGCTTAAGGCGTTGAAAGGCGCGACTACAAGCTCTATTCGATTGTAATCTTGTAATTTCTTCAGAGAAGTGTGCACGTTGAAGTTCACGTAATACTAGCGACTCGGCATAGTTGTAATCGGACGCTAAGACATACGAACGTCGCGGTAAAAGCTTCGCGAATCGACAAACGTAAATTACGCTACGCAATAATTTCGACCAAGAGGACAAAGGTCCGTGGAACCAAAGCGGATGGTCCATTATTTGCATCGGGGTGAGTCCACGGGATAGACAATCGGCAGGGTTTTCCGTACCGGACACGTGATAAAAGTTCCGCGTTCCTAACTCGTCTTGGATCTTGGCCACTCGGTTCGCGACAAACGTATCCCAACGGTGGGGTGAAGAATGAACCCAGCATAAGGCGACGGTGGAGTCGGAAAAGGCAAATATCCTTGCTATGTGAACTCTATCTCTCTTTAAATTTCTTGAAGAGATGCCGTGACCATAATATCACACGTAGGAATGAGATTATGGTCACGGCATCTCTTCAAGAAATTTAAGGCTGTTAGATATCTTGCCGCTTGGTCTTTAGATCCTCTAATCGGCGTATTTTATTTGCAATTACCAGTCCGTACTGGTTTACATAATGATTTCTTATATTTACGCGAACAGATTGGCTCAACACTTAGCGAAAATACTCTCACCGCTCAGGGGACATACAAAAGCACACATAAAGGATTCCTACCATTTTGTCAGCGAAATTAAAGACCTACATCTGGCAGACAATGAAACTATGGTCAGTTTTGATGTGCAGTCATTGTTTACATGCTTACCTGTTGAAGACTGCATCTCAATTGTAACTAGAAGGCTGGAAGAAAACAACATGCCCGTAGAATATGCAGTATTACTCAGACGCTGCCTTACATCTGGCTACCTATTGTGGAAGGAGGAGTTCTACAAGCAAGTAGATGGTGTGGCGATGGGCTCACCTGTATCTCCCATTGTCGCCGACATATTCATGGAAGACTTTGAGGAGAAAGCCCTGCTTAGTTCTCCCATAAATCCAAGATTCTACAAGCGGTACGTAGACGACACTTTCACAATTCTACCTTTAGATAAAGTAACTGCATTTTTAGACCATCTTAACTCTATAAATTCTAAAATTCAGTTCACAATGGAGTTAGAGGCAAACAATTCCTTAGCTTTTCTAGATGTGTTAGTAATTCGGAATCCTGATAACACCTTGAGCCATACTGTGTATAGAAAAAAGACCCATACAGATAGATATTTAAACGGTGATTCTCACCACCATCCTTCACAGTTAGCTACCGTGGGTAAATCTTTGTTTCAGAGAGCACGAGGGATCTGTGACAGTAAACACCTGGCTGCCGAGCTCCACCATGTCAAGCAAGTTTTGCATGACAACAAGCTTCGAGTCCCGCGCCTACTTCACGGTGAACGAGTGAAGCCTGCCACAGTCGAGCGTGTACCTGCTGTACTGCCATATGTTAGAGGAGTCATGACAAGATTGGCTACATCTTTAAGCGCGCTTCCATCAAAACATACTTCAAGCCGCTGAAGAAGATTGGTCAGTTTTTACCATCAGTCAAGTGTAATGTCTCTCTGCAAGATGCAGGAGTGTACAAGCTTGATTGTGAATGTGGTCTCTCCTACATAGGACAAACTAAAAGATCAATAAAAACCCGCGTTAAAGAACATATAGCTGATGTGAAGAATCGACGCTCCGGGAAGTCTGCAGTCTGTGAACACGTACAGGATCGCCCCCGTCACTACATCAGATTTGATAGACCGCAGATCCTCGCTAAAGAACACCGATTCCTTCCAAGGATGATTCGCGAGGCTATTGAAATCAAAAAACATCCTAATTTCAATAGAGAAGATGGCTGGGTGCTACCATCTGCTTGGGATCCTATAATAAATAAAATTAAATCCCAACCCAAGCATACAACTGCAAGACTTCAAGATACCGTAAGTTCATACTGCATAGATCGGAACAAAAGTTAAATTTTAATCTATGGTAACCGCGGTTAACTATGACATATGGACGTTGAACATCTCAGTCCCGCCCGTGACCATGAGTGCTGTAAAGCGTTCGAAACGTCGGGTATTTAAAAAGTTAAATATACGCGATAAATTCCGTAAAAACTAGTATTATTTCAATCGAATAGAAAAACTTCTGTTTGTATACTCTGTCTGTAGATATATGTCTTGTTAGTTGGAACTTAAGTTTTTTTTTTTAAATAAAATATAGTGAGAAACGAGCACACAGTCCACCTGATGGTAAGTGGATGCTGCGGCCTATAGACATCTACATCTATCTTTCATTAAACCTTTCGCCTCTAAGAACTACGATGGAATGCTTCGTTTCCAGTAAAAACTACTCGTACGATAAAATAAACACGTATGTCACGCAAACAATAATGCATTTACGTGGACAAAAGTTGCGTTACAAATAAAAGCTGCCATTTGACGTTGATATTTCCATGTACTGCGGTTCATATAAATTAGAATATTATTACAAATAGCGGAGGACGACACGGACGACGAAATAGAGAAGGTGCTCCGGGACCAGAAGGAGCGGCGCACCGGTTCTTCCGCTCAATCTGACGACGACGTGGCCTTTGTATGCGACGAGAGGATGAAAGGTAAGGAAAATAGTCAAACATATACTTACATCAATAGGATTTAACCTACGAGAGAAAGAGAAAAATACAGTATAGTGTTTATTATAAATTTGTTTATATTATAATAACATAAAATTACAATTATCCTACTTCTGGCACTCAGCGTTCATCTCATTCTCTCGAAGTTTAGTATTCTGAAGGTTTCACTAGTACCGCGTGTGGACTGCGCACATGTTTTGTTTTTGTATAATGTTTCTGCACACTCGTACGAAACTCGGCAGCATTAATCTGCTATTTTGAGCTGTTATTTTGTGTGATCGTATTCCTTCCCCGGTCAAGACGAGAAATTCGTTCTGCAGTGTGGTACTGCCACGTATAAAAGCTTCAAAATAAAACAAAAATTGGTCAGTTAAGTTACTTTACTTTTTAACTACTGAAAGCCAGTGTTTGACCACACTAACACTATTTTACTGCGGGCTTCTTATACAATAAGGGTAAGGGTAACAAACAAACACGCCGTCCACCTGATGGTGAGTGGACACTGTGGCCCAAAAACATCCTCATTAAGGCGACACCGTGAAAAAATGCATCTCCTTTCATCGAATAGTATAGGACTATGACACCACTAACGAAAGTGGAATTTTGATATAGGTGAATTCATGTCTTTATCTTGAATTTGATTATTCAAAAACAGGATTGTATAATTTGGACTCGATCATAATTATTTGCGAAAACACATCTAAAAATCACTATAGTTGAAATTATAACGAAATTACTTAATCTATACGCTTGGAAATCAAATAAAATATATTCATAACATCAATATTCATAATTTACTTGCTCATTATTTTGATTACTTAAATCAATAATTTTTAAAAAGTGTATTTTAATATTCTGACAATTTCTAAGCGCTTTTAATCGTAGCGGGCGCTACACTATTTTAGACCTTATGACGGCGTTTTTCAAGTTTTTATAGAAATTATGAATTCACTCGGATCAGTACGGCGATAGCCTTTTCGATGTGTCGTCTTAAGTATCACAATATAGATGCATTGTACCTACTTAATCCATTGAAATTCCACCACAACGAATTTCTACGTCGATTTCGGATGCTCAAATATTGTGTTTTGTTTTGTTGTATTTAAGGAAAGAACTCCATTAGGCTTTAAAGCCTATTAATTCTGTGGATGGACTACCGGTGCATATTAAAGTAGGGATCTATGACAACCATCTTTGCAAAAACATATTTTAATATTTTCAAAGTACTTTACGTCTATCAGTCTCTTGGCAGATGGTAGTTACCATAGAAATATTAAAAACAAGAGAAGTGGCAGGGGGCCGTGTCTGTGTCCGCGCGCTATGATCAAAATGCTCAGCTTCTATACAAATGGCTGTCTCTGCGAATTAGTGCGCTTGCGACCGTCATCGTGAAATATTATCAGAATGCCATGTTGCTCAGTGGTTTCTTGTCAAAACCGAAGTCAAAACAAAAACTTTGTTTACCATGGAATCACATACCATACCTAAGTACAAGTATTTTATTACATTTATCTTTAAAATCATATTAAACAGCAAATCGTAAAATATTTCTTTCTCTTACTACGTTACTTTTGTTTCCAAATATCACAGCCACTGTAATATTTTTGCAGTAAATACATTGCTCCATAACCACTACCTAAGTATAACGCCAAGTGACTCAACAAGCAATGTAAATATCACAAAACAATACTTTATTTATGCCGATATATTGCGTAGTACGGCCGCTGTATCTTGCGACGAGCTAGTAATGTGCGTGTGCAGATCCACTATCGACAATAATGTGGATTGGCGAATTGCTATTATAGTTTATTCTCCAATTTGTCAACCGTTTCAACCCGATAGGAAGACCGATGTGACACAATGTTTTTTTACTTATTTTGATTATTTTACAGCAACTACTACGCTGAATGAGTAACCAAAGGCGTAAAGTATTTTGATAAAATTTTAGGTTAATAATCGATGGAGTGTTCTTATGTTTGAATTATCGTATATTATGCCTTAACTTCGAAAAAATTTCATAATTTTTTTTTGTGGTTTAAAACAATTTACAGTTTTCAAAAGTTTCGAATGTATCATAAATACCTATATATACCTATATGTATCATAATACCTATAAAAAATAGGTTTGCTGGAAGAGAACTCTTATTAGGGTTAAGCTCGCCTTTGTACATTTATTTAAATATTTAATAATTGTTACCAACTTATTGTGTGTACAATAAAGAATAAATAAATAAAAATACCTAACCGGTATGGTTATATAGTGACTTAATTATAAAATTATTCAATAATGAAATTTTTCTTGCTATTCATTTATTAGATATGAGTGCGTATTTGTTTTCATATATTTAACAATATTATCACTAACCAGGAGTTTTTATAACAAAAAATCGCCAAGCAAAATCTGCTTAGTACATGGTGAGGTTAAAAAGTAGCTTGGGATATATGAAAATAATAAATAGGTTATTACTCGTACTGTTAGGAGGGCCGTTATGAAGGTGTTTTTAAAAAAAAAACTTTTACACCAAATCCCAGAAGTTGTTTTGGTTTATTTCCCCAATATTAAATTAATACAAGAAATGTACAAAAGCCGCGAACGGCGTGTGCGATATGCACTTAATATGGGTTGGAACTGCACTGCCTCGATTACCTCAAACTCTAGGCTTTTATAATAAATATAATAATCGAGTCAGCGCTTTTATCTAACTAGGGTTGGACATAACATCTCCCCCCTTTTTGACGGAGCTCATCCTTCTTTTAAATAAGGGATGAGCAGAGTCTCACAAACGATACAGTGGAAATTAAAAAAATAATTTGAATACAAAAATAATTGTAAAATAGAATTGTTTCAATTATTTGTTATTATTATAAAATCAAATTGAATTGATACAAAAGCATAGTAAAATTAAACTATTCTTAAACAATATCTACACAAAATTATAAGAAATTATTTATTGAGATTATGAACTAGTAATATAGTATTTTTTTATAAGATTCAGTGAATAATGAAATAGTAGAAGATTCAGTGTATTAATGCTAAGATTTATTTTTTATTTCAAATACAAACATTTAGTAATATTAATATCTAAGACACAGTGTATAAAACAAAATATAAACTTATATTCTAATGTAACATAAAGCTTTATGAAATAAGTATAGTAAAGTAATATAGTTTTTAATTATTACATAAGTTTCGATTTGATAAGTGAAATTTACCGAATGTTCTTTTCATTTGGTTTTGCACTGGCATATTGGGTAAGGATATAGAATCTTTTCTATCATCGTCTGATGATGAAACTTCAGTTAACTCAATAGAATTACTAACTTTCGATTCGTGTTTAACAATCCGTCGTGTATTGCACTGATTAAATATTTGTATGCAGCGGCAAGAATCATTATTTCTCTTAATAGAGCAACAAAATATTTTATAGGAAATATATAAAATTATGCAAATAATCAAAAAGTATGTAAATGATGAATAGTATTTACCATATTTTATTATGTGAGATTGTTCTTGAACTCTATTTATCTCATTTTCTAAGTTATTTAAGGAATGGTAAGAATATTTCAGAGTTTCCATGTCTAGGCTAGTTAAAGATATAGGAGATAAGTATGGAATTGATTTGTTTAAAATTTCTTTATTACAACAATCGTCTTCTGTAATATTAAAGTTTAAATTCATTTCATTTTTGATTTTAATAGATTTAGTTGTAGATGGCATTAATTGAATTGTCTTAGAGAAACCAATACAGCTTTCGTTTAAACTTAGGATACCTGTCCCTAGAATAGTGAAATCTTGTATTATATTATTACATTTTATAGTTAATTTACATTTCTCAGACTGTATATAGATAAACTTATTATTATTTATTTTATACCATACATCGATTTGTCCATATAAAAGTTTAGAGTTACATTGATGTGGTAAAGATAACGTTACTTCGGTTAACAATTTTGTTTCACAACATGGATTCTTTATTGTAGAAAATATAGAAATTAAAGGACATATAGAATAATCATTATTAATAATATTACAATCGTTTAAATTATCTAGCAAACTATAACTAAGTCTATCTTCTGTTATTCCAAGATAAGGCTTGGTAGGTTGGATTAGAGCCAAAGAGTTAGGATCATTAGGATTATGAGGGGTTGGTAAAGGTATGCATTTGTATAAGGTGAACTTTAAAGAAGAAATCAGTGGTATGCGTAATATGAAAATTATTCTTCTATTATAATAAAAAAATGTGAGTTTTGAAATATCTATCAAAGTATGTATATTTTCAATCGTTAATGGTACTGGAAAATCTAATCGCTTGTTTATATAATTACTCTGTTTTAAAAGCTGGCGGAATAAGTTCGTAGGAGCTATTATACTAGGATGTAGAATGTTTGCTTTAGAAAATAAGATAGAGTTTAGTACATTATCCAAGAAATTAGAAATAGTGGCTAAAGAGCTTTCTATTATATTAAGTAAAGTATATATTTTAGAAATATGTGATAATTGATTATTATTTCTGACAATTTGGGATAATACAATATTTAAAGAATTTATTTGAGAATTTAATTTATTTTCATTCATATTTAATTTATATATCGTTGAGTTAAATACATTAATAGAAGATTTAATTATGTGAATATTATCCTTCATTAATTTTAAAAGTTCGGATTCGCTATTTTGACAAGCGCTAATGGCTGCATCGTATTTTCGTGCATCATCAGCATCTAAAGTTCCAAAAAAGAATTTCAAAATTTCTCCACCGAATTCTAAAGCTCGTTTATGCCTTGTTTGTTCCTCGGTAGGGACTATATGCGAAAGAGATTCGAATTTAGCAAAATTAGAATTTAATAATACTTCAATAGGACTTATGATATCATTACATTCAACGAAACCATGGAGTTGGAAGTTTTCGCAGAGCGTTGCAGTTTTAATTATAAGCGAATGTATATTCTCTAGATGTGGCTTAACTGATACTACGTCTATATGA